TATAAACTATTGCTGTGTCCTAAAAATTCAAGTTCTCAAGATATAGACTTATCTCAGCTTTTTTTATTTGCTTTGAACCCAACGGCTTCAACTATAACTTTATACATATCACAGTTATCTTTATTTGGTCCTGATCAATGATGACCGATAAAAGTCTGCCTATCACTTGTAATAATGTGAACTTTCAATGGCAAAGAGATCAATGTGAAAATGAAATAAAAAATAACATAGTAGATTATGATTCTCATATATTCATTTTCAATGTATATCAAAATAAGTTTCTAAAGATATCTCCGTCTCTCGTGTGTTTGATGGCAGTGATGGTGGAAGGCCAAGCGGTGCAGGCATCTTTATTGGAGGCTTTGTTTTGGGTGGATTAGTTGTTGGAACCCTCAGTTGTGTGTGTGCACCTCAGGTGATAACAATCAAACAATTACTAATAGATGCAGTTATTTTAGCATTGAAGGCCACCTGCTCTCTTGTAATATTGAAAACTTTTATCTTAGACATATCAATTTTTTGCTTCATTGAGATTTCATTCTGTCTCACTACAATGCTTGATTGCTGCATCTTTGAGGAGGAATCTAAATAAACTGTTGTATAGAACATTATTCAGCTGGTCTCTTCTCTTTTTCACAGATCAGCAAGGCTTTAGCTGGGGCTGATAAAAAGGATCTCATGAAGAAATTGCCCAAATTCATCTATGATGAAGAAAAAGTTTTGGAGGTAAGTATGCCTTTTTATAATTAATTGGGGGAGCAATCTCTTCCAATGTAGCATCTTCTTCTGATGAAAACTAGTTTTTAAGCGTTGAGATCCTTTATGTCTGCATATTTTCTTGCTTGCTAAACTGCGCTAGTCATACTGTACAATTAAAAAATTTAGTCTCCCATTTATATGCAACTTGGCAAAATAAGTTTATTTTTTTGCCCATTTTCACGTGTCAATGTTTGAGCCAAACATAATTTCACCATGTTAGATTTCATATGGTACATAGAAGAACCTTGGTTTTTATTGCATGAGGTTTTCCACGACTTTGAATAATAAATGCAAATGAATTCAAGAGCTGCTTTGTTATCTACTATAAGTTGTTAGTAATTGGAAGTGATATTTTTCATGCAAGATGTCAACTGTGTGAAAATTTTATCTAAAGCCTGCAATTGTGTTGTTTTCTAATAGGTAATTAGCACAAAATATCCCTATCTTTCGATATTTTTGTGGAAAACGTCCCTACCTTTCATTTTTTGGCGGATTACACCCTTACCTTTACCTTTTTTTGCGCAAAACGTCCTTCTGTCAACTCTCCGTTAAAATGCTCCGTTAAATCAAAAAGGTAAGTAGCACAAAATGTCCCTACCTTTCAAAGTTATTGTGCAAAACATCCCTACCTTTTATTTTTTTAGCATAATTAGCAGAAAAGGTCCCTACCTTTCAATATTATTGTGCAAAACGTCCCTACCTTTCATTTTTAGCATTTTTACCCCTACATTTCACATTTCATTGCGCAAAAGGTCCTTTTCATCCATTTTTTCAATAAAATGACGATTTTACCCTCTTATTGAAATAAAACAAAAAGAAAAGAAAAAAATAATTAATTAATTGCAATCATAGTTCTAAATCTTTCAAAACATTACAAATAAATCCTAAATTCTCCACTGCCGTCACTTTCACAACCCCACCAAGCCACCACCTATAGATCCATATAGCACCACTTTTCGACCATAACACCTATCGGACTCCACCACCACCAGTGTCGCCTCACTCTCCCCAATATCCTCCGTCATAGTATTGATCACCAATCTGTCCGAAACAATCACATTTACGGTGGTGGAGTCCGGTGGGCATGGTGGTCGAAAGGTGGTATTATGTGGATTTATAGTTGGCAGCTTGATAGGTTGTGAAAATGGTGGTGGTTGAGAATTTATGATTTATCTGTAATGTTTTGAAAGATTTAGAACTATGATTGCAATTAATTAATTATTTTTTTCTTTTCTTTTTGTTTTATTTCAATAGGAGGGTAAAATCGTCATTTTATTGAAAAAATGAATGAAAAGGACCTTTTGCACAATGAAATGTGAAATGTAGGGGTAAAAATGCTAAAAATGAAAGGTAGGGACGTTTTGCACAATAATATTGAAAGGTAGGGACCTTTTCTGCTAATTATGCTAAAAAATAAAAGGTAGGGATGTTTTGCATAATAACTTTGAAAGGTAGGGACCTTTTGTGCTAATTACCTTTTTGATTTAACGGAGCATTTTAACGGAGAGTTGACAGAATGACGTTTTGCGCAAAAAAAGGTAAAGGTAAGGGTGTAATCCGCCAAAAAATGAAAGGTAGGGACGTTTTCCACAAAAACATCGAAAGGTAGGGATGTTTTGTGCTAATTACCCTTTTCTAATTATGTGGAAGTCATTGTAGCTACTCTAGAGATTGCCAAAAGGCAATCCTCTCTTACTCTCCCTCCCATCCGAACAAAAAACATATAAAGAAAACAACTATAAACAACAAAGAAACTTTGTTTCGAATAAATTTGGGATACCTACATGAATCCTTTTTTACCAATTCGTTTGGTTCATTTTAGATGTATTGGAAAACAACTGGATCATTAGCCTTTTAGTTATGGTTTGCCCCGCCCTCTTTTAACCCCTTCTATGAACGTGAACCTCTTTAGGTCTATGCAAATCGCGTCCTAACCACCTAAGTCATCATTTCTTTAATTTGTCCTCATCAATCAATATCAACTCCATTTGTTGGATAATATTTTCATTTTAATCTTTTCTATTTTAGTTTGCTCATACATCAAACTTAGCACCCATTTGATGCCCATTAAAAAGAGAATTTTTTTATTTTTTATTTTGTTTTGCAGATGACATGATTGTCCATAGTAACTTCATTGATATGTTTGATCCTACTATTATTCAAGGCATTGCATGTATTGGGTCTTGAATCTACTCAACCCGACTTCTAGATTCTAAAGCATTCCGATGTCAACAATTTAGCTGCTATTTGGTAGAGTTTTTTAAAACTCATTTTTTTTTTTTTTGAACTCATTTTCAACAATATATACCTCCAATAAAATATTTTGCATGTAGACCTATAATTATTCCCTATTTTTAACCAGGTTTTTTAACAAAATCACTTTTCACAACATCTATTATCAAAATATCTACATCAAATATTCTCTTAGTCTCTTTCTATCTTATCAACTGAAACTATGCCCGTGTGGCTCCCATTTCTTGAAAACTCATTTTTTTTCCCAAATTCATTTTCATTTATACATTTTATGGGACACACAACTTTTATCAACTTATTAACCACAAGTTTCACCAACTTTTATCAAAATCTACCAAAAAAAAATTCTAATTTTTATCCAAACCTCATGATATATTTTGAGTTGATGAGACTGGATAAGGGTTAATTCATGAGTTTGAACTTGGAAGAAAAGAAGAAAATAAAAAATAAAGGGATAAAAACTTGAAACATCAACCAAACAATACCTCGTCCAAACTGTACATGGCTGCTACTGGATTCTATTACTAGCCTATTTTGGTGTAGTTCAATACAAATATTTCATAAGGCTGTTTATTTAAGATATACCTAAGTTTAATGGTCAAACAAAGTCCTTTTTTCCTCCCTCTATTGATAGACCTAGGAACCTCCTGCCATCATTGAACTTTTCAAAATGTGGATGTAGAATCCTGCAATCCAAGATATCCTGGTTCCAGGGCAACTATAAGGTCGACTGGTTGATTTTCTCTCTCTTATGAGTAAAGTGTGCCTATGATGTAGCACTGGGAGGATTATTAGTTAGTGTGCATCATCTTATGAGAATACAGTAGAGTCAAGATAATTATTTTTGCTTTAATAGAATCTTCAGACTAGACTATGGAATAACTTGGTAATAAACTAAAACTGCAATATTGATATAAATTCCTGCCAAATATTTAACAAATGCACTGATTTGCTTCATCATTGATGTAACACCAATGTCATAGAGGCATGTTCCTTACTCATTTATCTTTTGTGAAACATTTGCATGCTGTCCCATTAATAGAAGCAACGTCAGAAGCTGGCTGAGAAGATCGAACAGCTCAACTCTGCTATAGACAATGTATCCACTCAGCTGCGGTCAGACGACCCCCCAAATGGAGAAGCTGTTAACTCAGACGAAGTTGAATCTGTCGTATGAGACTGTCATGTTGATCTCATACAAAATCTTGAACTGCTATGCAATGATCTGTTTAACTTAGAAAACAATGAAGTTGTCATCTGAGAAAGCCCCGTTTTGCAATTCTAGTCTTCTTGTTACTCATTACCTGTTGACATTGGATCTAAACAATGAAAGTTCAACTTCTTATCAATATTAGGAAACGTTTGGCTGTGCTTATAAGAATTGGGGTCCACTACATTTTGTGGTTACTTTTTCAAAAAATGCAGGTTTTAAGCATGATGAAACTACTAGATCAAATGATTATTTTAATCCCTTTTCGAGGGCCTCTCTAAATTGTTATGTAATACTAAGAGACCTTTTTTTCCCTCTCAAGATAGATTGGTTCAACATCACGAAATCCTTTTCTATCAGATAGGTAGATTGATCCTGATCACTCATTGATTTGTCTAGCGACAAGGTCAACAAGCAATCGATATTTCACAATCAATGGTGTAATATTCTTTGTTAGTAGCAATCCAAAAAAAGAGATCTTTTTTCCTTTTTTTCTTTCCTGCACCTATTTTATTGAGATAGGGAGAGAGCTTGTCATGATGCATGAACTAATGCTTAATTGTCCAAGTATATTCCTGTTTGCAAAAATTAGGCAGACACACTTTTAGTACAGTGCCATTTCTTGCTAAGAAGTCGTAAAATTATGTTGGTATAAATATCATTTTAAGCTACCTCGTCTGCAATGTTAGCTATTAGAGAGGAGGAATTGACATCCATAATCAGTGGTCACACTGTAAATATTGTTCAATCATTCAAATGTGCAAGAAAAACATGTAGCCTTCCACAGGTGTCCTAATTTTAAATCGTATTTAAAATATAAAATAAATAAATAAATGAGATCATATTTTGCCTCCATGGAGGGCCATCCTTGTCCATTCTTGCTACTTTGGGCCTAGCTAGTGATTATAGGTACAAAACGTTAAGCCCTTGTTTGTCATCTATTTTTTCTTACAATATTTATTTTTAACCACATTTTTCATTAAAATAATATTACACGCAAATCAAAAAAATTTCATTCTTTTTTAATTACACATTATCCATCAATCACTATTCTATAATAAATTTCTTCAAATTAATGGGGCTCAAACGGGACCTTACATTATTATATCAATGAGACCACTCCCTAGAGAAAGACAACTTGAAAATAATTTCTCAATTTGACTGCAAGAAAGAATTCTATTTATTTATTTATTTTATTTTATTTTACACCCTTTTGGGATCATTTAACTGCTAATTTGTCTCAGCTTTGAATAAATAGCGCCGAGTAGGCGGCAATAATTATAGCCCGTGTTTGGTTGCATAAACGAAATTTTACTTCTCTTCAAAAATAATTTTTAATTACACATTCTTCAAATAAAATATCCTACTGATTTGTCCTCTGGATTGATCTATCCTGTCTGATATATAATTATCCATTGCTACGTCATTCCTTGTTCCGAAGCACCCTTGACCTATCTTGATTAAAACCAAAAACCTATCTAAAGTGGAGCCTGGTTTAAGTTGTAGCCACCTTTCTTTCTAGTTCCAGTAAGGGAGCAGTGAAATGTATTAAGCCTTCGTTTGGTAGCAATTTTTTACTCAAAAAAATCAAATTTTTTATTGTTATTTCACTATTTCAATCATCATTTTTTATTTTTTCAATCACAGGTAGGACCCATTTTTCTATTTAACATTAAAAAAATGAATTCTCATAATCACTACCGAACATGTCCTAATTATGAAAAGATTTTTCCAACTTTTTTAACCATGCGTTCTTAAAAAAATTCACTTATCATAAAATCTATTATTAAAAATATCTACCAAACGGGGCTCGGTAACAATAGCGATGAGTTAATTGTTGCAATGGTTATTGAACTTTGGTTCATGTTTTTAATTGATCACTGAAATTTAAAATATTGAGTTTTGGTCATTGAATTTAGATCAATGTCTTCGATTGCTCATTGAATCTAGATCAATGTCTTAAATTGCTCGCTGAAATTTAAAATGTCAAGTTTTGGCCACTGAATTTTTGAATATGCTGTACCTTATTAACTAGCATAATTGTTGACCTTTGAAAAATACCGAATTTACAGTGAGTAATGTACAACATTTTTCAAAATTAGGTGAGTAATATATAATATTTTTCAAGTTTCGATGAGTAATGTATAATATTTTTCAAAATTTAATAGTCAAATTAGACATTTTAAATTTCAATGAACAGTCGAAGATATTGACTTAAATTCAATAATCAAAACTCGATATTTTATACATCAATAATCAATCAAAGATGGACTAAAGTTCGCCTCTTATTGGAGCCGTCTTCTTCCGCATTTTTCGAAAACCCTAAAAAGAATGAATTTTTCATTCATATAATCTTGAATTGTACAAGGTCTTATTATCATAACAAAATCACACCCGATTCGTTTTGGAAAGATACGTTCTTTTCATGCTGATCAACAAAATCAATTGAAGTCGCCAGATGAGAGGCGGAGGCCTATTCATTGCATTTCTGTTTTTCACCTTCCTAATTTTAGCTGTTGTATTGAGGGTTAAAGCAAGCCCTGATAACCCGGATCCAGATCCGGATGTTCTCAGTGGTTCCGAAGGTCCATCTACCAATTCTCAATTTGTAACGACGCCGTAAGTGCTGCCTTTAGTTTCTAAATAATCTTCTGTATATGGAGTATTTTGTAAAGATTTGATTTTTTTTTTCAAAATTTAATTTTCGAAGAGATCAGAAATTGTATTTATAAAAATTGAGCAATTGATAACTGCATTTAACACAATAATTTAAGCTGATTTTTGAGAACACTTTAGAGGCTCATTCCCAACACCACCCCCCCCCGGGTAGAAAACGTTTGTTGTGGGTTATGCGGGTGATTATATACTGGACACCTGATATAATGAAGATGTTGTCGTGGTTGTTCAAATATAGACTTCCAGCATAAATAATGTTGTAGTAGCATACAATGGATAATTATGGGTCCTTACTCTGACCTTGTAGTGGAAAATAAAACAACGTTCCAATGATTTTACATGTTGCCAACAGTTAGTGAGGAAAAGCCCTGTTTCTAAATTGAGTGTACTAGCCTAATGATATTTCAAAAGAAGGGAAAGGGTGTTAACCACTCTTCTTTTTCTTTTTCCTTTTCTTTTTCTTGGGGGTGGAGGGTGGATTAGTAGATTGAAATGTTTGGCAGGATATAATTTTTGTATTTGTAATAACGTCTGGATTTTTCCTCTTTTATGCTATCTGTTCGTGTGTTGTCCTCTTCATTGCTCTTGGATATAAAATCAGTAGACATGATACTGCAATAGTGGCTGCTCCAGATGGTATGGTATATTTTGTTGAGATTGGTTCCGGACAAATCCTTTGGTCATTTTCATCCGGGCCATCTATTTATTCCTCTTATCAGGCACTCCCCAGTAGTGAAGGTGAAAAATTTGTTTCCTCTGCTGATGGTGATAATTTCTACATAGATTGTGGAGATGACTGGAAACTTTACTTACACACGAAAGGCATCAATAAAGTGGTATGTCCATAGAACTTTCTTACATCTTATTTTATAGGCTCTTAATCTGGTATTTGTTGCCTTGGATTGCATGATTTCTGATAATGAGGATGAGCTATTTTCAGCAGCTTTACATATTCTTTCTCCATATTCTAGCGTTCCGTCCATGTTGTCATAGAGTATCCTCATCTGCCTTATGGTTTCTTACACTAACTTGTTGCATGTATTTTTCCATTGCAGCAGCTCAATCTGAGTGCTGAAGAATTTGTGAGGCGCACTCCATTTGTATCAGCTGGTGGTGGTGTCATGTTAGGATCAAAGATAACTGCTGTATTTCTTGTTGATAGCAAATCTGGAAAAGTAGTTCGTACATTTAAATCCGAGAATTTTCCCTCGGTTGGAGAGCAGGGTGCTGATGAATCTTCTATTCTAGCTAGAAAGGATATTGAAGAATTGGTAGGATCTGGCCCCACTGACTTGGAGGATGTTGAGAAGCTACTCTATGTTACAAGGACAGACTATAATCTGAAGTATACCTCCAAGGAGACCGGGGAAGTTCTTTGGTCTCTAAAGTTTGCTGATATTGAAGCTTCATTCCAATGTGAAGGAATTGAGAATTTACTGGGTGGACTTTTACCTGAGGCTGACAAGTTTGGTCCAGGATATAAGCTTCATACAAAGTTGACAGTGCATTGCCAGACGAGGCCTGTGGTCTATCGCATCCGTGATCGTAGCTCACTGGAATCCCTTTTTGTGGTTGACAAGTTACCAGATGCTCTTCCAGGAGGCAAAGTTCTTTCTTTACCTTCTGCTGATCATGATCCTATGTTAGAGCCAGCGGATAAGTTTTTAGGTGTTCATCATGGTAATGAGAAACAACTATTGCTGGCTTTGCCCAAACCTAACCCTGAAAAATTTATTATCAGGGGTCTGCCTGGAGGTGGTGGTCATCATATGAATCACAGTATAGACTCTCATAATTTAGAACGATATCATCTCTGGCCTTCCTTTCTATATGCTGCGTTGGTGCCACTAATCATGGCTTTCTTTTTCTATGTAAGATGTGCAGTGGTTAGGGGACAAGGTAAATTGTACCAGCAGCCTGAAGGCAATAAGTTTCAGGTCATAAAAACCAAAAAGAAGAAAAGTCGCAGAAGTGCTACCATTAAAAATAGCTCTGTTGTTGAGAACAAGACTAACCATATTTCAGACCATCAGAGCGTACTGGCCAGAAATGATCTCCAAAACATTGAAATAACTAAAGGAAATTTACTGAATTATTCAAGTAACTACAAGAGTCTTGTAAATGGACGTCAGATTGGGAAGTTGTTGGTTTCCGATAAGGAAATTGCCAAGGGAAGCAATGGAACTATTGTACTTGAAGGAATTTATGATGGCCGTTTAGTGGCTGTTAAACGCCTTGTTCAGACTCATCATGATGTGGCTTTAAAAGAGATTCAGAATCTTATTGCATCAGATCATCATCCAAACATTGTCCGATGGTATGGAGTGGAATATGATCAGGATTTTGTCTACCTTGCTCTGGAACGGTGTACATGTAGTTTACATGATTTGATATTGTATTACACCTCTACTTCTCAGAATCAGATACCTATAGGAGACCAAGATAATGAATCTCTTAGTGATTGCCGGTTGCTGTCAGTTCTTGGAAATGACAAGGATCTTGAACTGTGGAAGGCTAATGGCTATCCATCTACTTGCTTGTTACAATTAATGAGGTAGGTTTGATATTATCTCAATCTATTATGGTTCATATGTATGGTGTTTATGTTAAAACCTGCCTAATCTAGAAACACAATGTATCTGTCCCCCACTCACCAAAGAAGAAAAAACTTCACAAAGCAAATGAAAATATTTGAAACTTGACAACTTTTCGTCCTGTTTATGATACTTCTCTGTGCATTATACTAGAAGTGGTAAATGACACAAAGTATATAATTAAAAGTTGAACTAGATTGAATATGATTTCTGTAAACTTAATAGGAAATATCTTCAGAAAATTTTGCGTAATTTCCTCAAGATTTCCCTGTAGATGTATTAGAATTGAACTAATTTACTTCAAATAAACTCTTAATTACATATTTTACTATGCAAGTATCTCATGATCTCTGTAGCACGGACACTTCATTTAGGATAGCGTGTCTGTATCCGATACATGTCGATAACGACACTCCTTGGACACTACCATAAATATTTTTCTTTTTATTAAAAATATAACTCAAAGTTATTAATAAATGACAAATAGGTACTCATATTTAAAAGATTTCAATAAGAAAAATTAATAACAAATATAAAACTAAATTTATACTATAAATGGAGAATTTTAAATAATTTAATCCACGTGTCAACAACGTATCATGTCAGTACTTTTTAAAAAAATCTCGTGTCAAATACTGTGTTAGAGACGTGTTCATGTTGGTGCATTATAGCTCATGATTATATGCACTTCATATCATATTTATATTAGACCTCCATTTGGAAAGAAATTAATATATGGTTAATAAATTCAGTTAAACTCAAATACTAATTACAATTACACATTTATTTAACCCAGTTATGAATTTGCCAAATGGAGGCTTTGTTGAGTTTAGCCTTCTAAAAAATCATCATTCCTTACAGCAGTTACAAAAGATTGTTTTTGCTAGTGTTATCCTTTTCCTTCTATATTTGGCTCAGTATAAATTGACTCTCTCTATTATGAGCTGCAGGGATATTGTTTGCGGACTAGCACATTTGCATGAACTTGGAATTATACATCGAGATCTAAAGCCTCAGAATGTCCTTGTAATCAAAGAGAGAGCAATATGCGCGAAGCTTTCTGATATGGGTATCAGCAAGCGCTTAGCTGGGGACACGTCTTTAACCAAAAGTGCTACGGGTGAGTACATGTGTTGTTCTGCTGTAGATATGCTTATGTTTGTTGCATGTTTAGTTGTGGAAATCGATCTGATGGCAAAATATTATTAATCTTGTATTTTCTGTACATATATACTTCAATATCTTATTTTTGTCCTAGCAGGTTATGGGAGTTCAGGTTGGCAAGCACCAGAGCAATTGCGCCGTGAACGTCAAAAGCGTGCTGTAGATTTATTCAGTTTAGGTTGTATTCTTTTTTTCTGCATAACTGGGGGCAAACACCCATTTGGGGAAAATTTTGTGCGTGATATAAATATAATCAATAATCAGAAAGACCTTTTCTTGATAGAGCATATACCAGAAGCAACAGATCTAATCTCCAGACTCCTAGATCCAAACCCAGATTTGAGGTAATGTCCCTTTTTCTTTCTTGTCATACTTCAGTATAGCATTTCACTTTGGAGGCAACATCATTACTCGATTTCATATATCAGTGGTGACAATATACTTGTAATGTTATTCTATAATTAACTAAAGTTAAAAAAAAAAAAAAAATTCTTTTATTCTATAGGCCAAAGTCAGTGGAGGTAATGCAGCATCCTTTGTTTTGGAACTCTGAGATGCGGCTCTCATTTCTTCGAGATGCTAGTGATCGGGTTGAATTAGAGGACAGGGATAGTGATTCTGAACTCTTGAAGGCACTCGAAAGTATCGGAAAAGTTGCTTTTGGGGGTGGTAAATGGGATGAAAAGATGGACATCATCTTTATTAATGACATTGGCCGTTACAGGCGTTATAAATTTGATAGCGTACGCGACTTGTTGCGTGTCATAAGAAACAAGTTGAACCACTTCAGGGAACTTTCAAAAGAAATTCAGGGATTAATAGGACCGGTTCCTGAAGGATTTGATTACTATTTCTCAAGTCGATTCCCAAAACTTCTTACAGAGGTCTACACAGTGATTAGCAGATCTTGTGCAGAGGAAGAAACCTTTCACAAATACTTCAGAAGTAAATAGCCTCTGTTTGTCCTCCTTGTTAATATTATCTTGTAAATGTGTACCACAAAATCTATTTTTTTGTATACTCACTTGTAAATTATTCTTGGAAAGTCTGTCTACATTAATGAATTTTATGGTACCCCCACCCACCCAAAACTGTCACAGGCTCCTGCACAAATAATCTTATAGATAAAGGTAATGATATTCTAATTATTATTTTATTTGTTCACAGTTATTTTAAATTAATGTGTTTTAATTTTTATAATTTGTTCCTCATCTTTATGGCTACGGTAATTTTAACATCTGGTGGATGTATACTTCTGCTGTAAAAAGTGGAGGTGACAAGTGCTCGAGAAAATAATTTTATGGTTATCTTTCTCTAAATCTAAGTTGATAGCTTGTGGATTACCAAATAAGTTAATTTAAAGTGTATAATTATTAAATCTTGTTTGGCACATATTTTTTCAAGTGGAAAATGATATTTTTTAAAGAATGCGTAGTTAAAAAGTAAGAAAAAAGTTGTGGATTTTATAAAATGTATGGTTAAAATTGATTTTGAAAAAAAAGATCTTTGACAAACAAGCTTTTAATATGTAAGAACATGATATGAGAAACATCTTGCATCAGAACTGTTAAGAAATGTTTGAGCTATTAATATTTTATAGTCTTCTATTGTTTAAACTTGCTTGAGCAACAGATAATTTGGTCAAAATTTTGGTGACAGGCCCATGTGGCGCCCGGGAACCTTAAAATTTAAGGCATTAGTAGGACTCTTTTTCATTGAATAATTTGAGCAAACTAGAATTCGAAAGCATACATCAAACTTTATTAGCGAGTATCTTATAATTCCAATTCGTCCTCTCAATTATTCTGTTTTATTTAGTTGTGTAAGTTACGATCCTATGTCTTAATATACCATGCAATTTATAGAAATCATTAAACTCATATTTGCAAAATTCAAGGCAAATATCAGTTCTGAAATTTTTTATCTCATGATCAATTTGATTTACTATTCATAATTTTAATCCTTGAAAACTCTCGTCCTTAATTTTTAATAAAAACACCCAAAATTTTCTAGGAAAATCATCATTAATCAGTAAGCAATATCTAAATCAGATTGAGTATCTACAGATGCTTGCCCATTCAAGCAGAAATTTGGATTTATGAATTCTTGGTAGAAAAGGTAATTAACTTTTTACCTACAACACATTGTCCACAAGTAATATCATCAAGATTATTTTCGCCAAAAACACCTTAAATTTGTAAAGATTTTATGCATTTTCTTTATATGTGACCTAATCTTTCATGCCATATTCTTTTGCAAAATAGAATTTATCATTTAAAATCGCTGCAATTAAGCCAAAATTGGTTTTGCTACAAGACAATAGAGACAATGTCTCTTTGGATTATTTGTGATCAAGTCACAATCCCTAAAGACTTTTTAAGTTGTCACTAATGAATCTTTATGTCAAACTTCATATTATTTAGCCCTTTTAGTGTTATAAAATTCCTCTCCAATTCAGGTGCAAATCTAGTTTTTTCAAGTAATAAAATGTTATCATTTTTCAGTAATAATTTTAATGTTCCTATTACAGTCACTTTACAAGTCATATTATTTTGGATAATCATAGCTATATCACAGTTTTTATTTCTTGCACCACATTTTAATTGCACTTAAGATTTTTTAATCTTTGCTCATTATATTATTTATGTCTCTAACAATTTTCATGTCATTCTTATCCTCAAACTTTTCATTAGTTAACATATATTATATTTGATAATAGTTTAATGTCCAAAAAGCCCATTGAAATGGCATAAAACGACTTATTTTTTCATCATATTTTTTAAAAAAAAATAAATAAATAAAAGGTGGAAAAAATATTTTCCTCATTTTAAAATATGAAAATAAAATTTTTAAATTATGAAAATAAAATATTTAGATATAAATCATTATCAAGGACAAGACATACTAATTTATAGAAGGTTGGAAATAAGAATTCGATGGAAAAAAGTCGAGAAAATAATTGTTACAATGAGTAAAGATTGAAGAGTTTAACTGCAATTAAAATGTACTGTATCAAATAAAATTTGTGATTGCAATATAAGTATCCTATTATTTTTCATTATTATTTGCCCGCCACTAGTTTTCTCAAAATAGTAAATCAAGTTTTATTTGGAGACGAAAGGAAAAAAACAATTAGAGCCAAGAATTGATTCTTGATTCAAATTATTTTCCACATTAAGAAGCACAACTCCATTTTCTGATCGAATAATGCTGAGTGTACAACAGGTGATGTACACTCTTTTTAACAGCCCACTCACAATCATGAGGCTCGCGATTATTTTAATCGTGGGCCTCACTTTTTGTATGTGAGAGGACTGTTAATTATGATGTCAAAATTGTTGTACTTGTAGTATGATTCTTTTTGATCACTCCTCATTGTCAACTAAAACTACGTTTCCTTTCATTTTTTTTTTTGATCTTCCAATTTATTTTTCCTTTTATAGCAATCTTTTATGAAATTTCCAATTTTCCCATAAAAATAGCATTTTCCCTTCACAAGAGTTTTGCACTACAACAATATTTGAATTACTAGATAGGAAAGATCTCATCAAGATAGTAATTTTTTTAAGTAAATAAATTAATTTGATAACATGTGAATTTTTTTATATACACAAGCAGCTGTTTTTTCTTCTCTACTTTAATATATGTGTAAAAACGTAAATAATTTGTTTACAATCTATCCTCGCAACCTCTCTCTCTCTCTATCTCTCTCTCTTAAATGGAATCAGCTTGAAAATTTTTTTAGCCCTTGTTTGGCCCCCATTACTGGAAAAATTAATGGGTAGAATAGTATTTTTTTGAAAAATCAGTGGTTGAAAATGAAGGAAAAATTTTCGATTTACGTGTAATATTATTTTATGGAAGATTGTGTGGTTGAAAATAGAAGATAGAAAAATGAAATGTAATGTAATAAAAATTAATGGGGCTCAAACAGGCGCTTACGCATAATTTGGTAACTGTTAATTCATGTTAATTGGTTAATATTAATTTATTATGCACCACAATAATTGGTTTCTGTCAAGGTTTGCTTCTTGCTTACACAATTTTCTTTGAATTATACGATCCGCCATCTGCCTGCAGTCACCGCAATCTTTGCAACATGTTGAATCTTGTCAATTTATACATACACCCCAACGTATATATTCTTATGTGAAAATATCTTCCGAATTAAAATCATCGCAAGTGTGCAGTTCATTAACATGTAATAAAATGAATTTGTGTCCAAGTATAGTTTCACAAAGATTGATTTAGTTCGATTTTAATTATCGCGATCTTAACTGAAATAAGAATTATAAAATGTGTTAGTTTGTGACAAAATTATAACTAAAATAAACTATTTGTGCAATTATGAGTTAATTTAACTAACTAAATACAAACTATGCTAAATAAAAGTTGATATATTCTTATGAATGATAAACACACTAAGATCTCGAATTCCCATGTAATAATCATTCTTAACCTTATTCTACACTTTGACAATAGGGTTGACTTTTGAAGAATCAATGTTCCTATTTTATTTAACCACCTCTCTCAACAATGTTAAATCTACTCTCATATATAATCCAATTATATAGAGTACAACAGTATATTTTTATTCACTATCGAACCTATGACAATTTACACCATGTCGAGCTTGTTTTCTTTCTTTTGATTACATAAAATAAGCCACATAATTCATACAGCTACCATGCACAATTGTAGAGAAAAGATAATCATGTGAACCATTCAATATCCAAAAATTTGTTTTCAATGTCAAATAGATAAAACTAAAGATTAAAAACTCATACTACAAAATTCATCGTTCTCCTAGCACAATAGCTTAACATGTTTTAAAGAAGAAAACAAAAGATATTAAAATTGTTTATCACCCGAAAGTTATGAATTCAATGTTGATTTTCTTGAATCTTGACGTGTTCTTTGTCCCCTTTTCAATTAATTCTCCACAACCTAATTTTGTGTTGCGATTGATATCTGTAGTACTCTCTGAGAAATCCCAAAAGTTCTTAAAACTAGTGCAAAATTGGTCCAAGAAGAAGTTTCCTTAATGGACTGAAATTTTGAAATAAAACTAGTTTTTTCATTGCAACTGCCCCTGCAAAATTCGAGCGATTGCCCAGGTATCCCCTTCAGCCTCGGTAATTGGTTTTTGTGTCCGGGAGGTTGCTGGGCAAATATAACTAGGTAGTCACCTAGTTATGTCAACTTTTAAATTTTGCACTTTAATCTCCTAATTCATTCCTTCTCTCGCAATTTCAACCTTTCAACTTCTAATTGCATTCAATTGAACCCATAAAATCTTTAATCTTCATTTTGTGGTCCGAATCAACAATTGGAATGTCTCATACTTTGGAATTCACTATTTTTCTTTTCCAATTGTTTAGAGACAGGTCCATCACTTAAATAAACGAAAATTAACCTAAGGTAAGCTGAAGTCAACACTTTCAAGACATAGTGATGGCAATGGCTCGGCTCAGCCCACGAGCTCGCGGGCCGAGTAGAGCTCGCGAGCGGCTCATGAATTCGTGATGTTTTTATTATTTTGTTCGGTAAATTTGCACATTTTGGACATTTTTTTAAAAAAATTAATATTTTTTGATGAGCCCATTAGCTTGACTCGTGGGCCCATCAAAATGGCTCATGGGCCGTGTGCCCACGAGCTCGACGAGTCGAGCAGGCTCGACTCGTGGGATTGAGCCCCTGCTCGACTCAAATGACGAGCCCGAGCTGCTCACGAGCCGAGAAAGTGCCATTGATTTTCTCATGATCTCAATCCCCTTGTAGCCAACTTTTCCCTTGTAGTCCAATGCTCAACTTAGTGTATGTGTGATTAGCCAACAGGAACATACGTCCATACTAGAACACAATCAATCAAGTGTCATTATTTTCTCATAATCTCAATCTCCTTTGTAGTTAATCTCTCATGCAAAATCACTTTTTAAGTTTTTCTCTTCAAACTCGAGGTATTTCTAGCACATGTGAGATCTTGATAATCATTAAATTGCATTTTGCACACAAATTGATCAGAATTAGATACTTGTAAATCTAGAAATGAGATGACAAGCTTTCTCATACTCAGATTGTCAATCTCTAGAGTTCAAATCTCAATGTTTTTATCAGGCACATCTCAATTTTCATAATCTAAATCCTTCTTCTC